GTTTGTTTTTAAAGTTTTATTATACATCAATACAACTAGTCTGTTTATCGTTTATAGAGTAGTGAGGAAATTGCTACTCATTCTTTATATACTATAGTATTCTAGAAATTCATTCGTTCTAGAAATAAACAGTTTTATAATATAATCAGTAGAATGGAACAGTCTGCACAGAGAGCGTTTGAAACCCAAAGCCGGGGTGCAGGTTCTGACTTCTAGGGGATAACTGTTCCATATTTTAGAATACATGACCGTGAAGGAGTTTTCGCGGAGTGATGGTATAGAGGCTTTTGTTGTCAATGTGCAAGTTTGGTCTCGTCCAAGATTGAAGGAGTCGTACACCGTGAAATACAGTCTTTCTTGCAATCGTGGTTAAGTAGTTTGGACGTGAAATATCATTGGACACTTTCAATCTTCAGCTTGTTATATATACGGCTGCTGCTAATAATAAATGGACAGTATTCTGGTAGTGGCCTCAGCTTCATTGTCGCGAATGTTCCTGAGTATGCATCCTAAGAGCGTCCTCGGCTAAAGTGTCTGTGATGCCACTCGCTCAGAGAATGTTAGGTCATCAGAGTAGCTCAGGCCTAAGTCAACGACACTTTGGAGTCTGGGTTGGTTAGCAGGTTGAGGCGTTAATTTTGTGTCGATTGAGGGTGCGCCGAAGCAGATCCAACCACATTTGTTCACACTAAACTGTAGACTCCATAAAGATGACCATGCAGTCACTTTATCTAATTCGTTCTGCACAACACTCTGGAAGTACCCTGGGTCGTCATACTAGAATGCATAAGCAACTTTTAGGTCATCTGCAAAGATGAGTGGTTTCCCATGTGAGAGGCAAGCGCATATGTCATTGATATATAGTGTAAATAGGAGCCCAATGACACTACCTTATACTACACCAGAAGTGATTGGGCGAGGTTTCGAAGTTACAGACCCGAGTTTAACTATTTGGGACCTATTGCTAAGGAATGATTTAAACCGTCCTAATAATGGGTCACGTAATCCTAAGGATTTTAGCTTATGTATTGGTGTAACGACAGAAGGCAAGAGTCAGGCAAAAGATCATTTATTAAGGAAATCAACGCACATTTATATATTTTCGTGTACATTACTATGGATATTTAAGCAAACAAACACAGTCTTCCGATTGGTTGTTTCTCACGTAAAGTTAATCTTTCATCTATTTGTGACTGTTTCTTGAATGTCAAATCCTCTATCTGTTAACTGCATCCGCCTACGCAAAGTCTGATGTGGTCGGTTTTGAATCAATCTTTGTTCACATTTTCTCACGACAAATCTTGGGAACGTAAATATTGACGTAAATTACTGTCTACCAATTTGGCTAGTAGGCAGCTGTCACCACATTAGTAGTAAATGGTCGACACGGTCAAATGCCTTAGAAATGTCAAAGTAGATGACAAGCACTAGTTGTCATCTGTCACGACTGCCGGGCACAAAATTAAGGAAGTCCAGGTGGCATGTTAAGCATGATCTGGATTTTAAGAATCAATTTCGGTTCGGACTTACGATATTGCAGCTAAGCGTATTTTTGGGTATGTCATCTTTAACTAGTCTCTCCATAATTCTAGATGCTATAGGTGTGCTACTGATTGGCTTATAGTTGTTGACATCTGTTTTCGAGCCGCATTTGTGTTTAGGTAGAATAAATTTCGTTTCCCATATGTCCGAGTAAGTTTTGGTTTCTGACGACATTATGAAGATTTTAAGCAGTAATATGGAGATGTCAGGACCACCATATTTATAGAAATACGATGATATTATTATATACCATCAGTGCCAAAATCTTTCGAGCTTTTGAGAGCTTTAACGGCTTGGTTAATGTTTGCACAAGCGAACTCAGCGGTATTAATTTATTTTGGTGTGGGTAAAAATGGACATATTAGTGGGGTGTATATTAGGTAATGGTACTGTAGGCTTAAGGTAGTTAATTGCAATTTTTTGTTAAATAATTCACATATGTCTGCAGAGTCATCGTATAGCCTACCTTTGTCAATGAGGAGAGAAATGCTGTGATTTTCATGATTCATTTGCTTCTTTAGGATTTCTGTGAGAGCATACACCCTGCAGGGCTAACTAGCTTGGTGCATTCTTTGTTACTCATCCGCAAATCTCTAGCTTGTGAGACGGAGCTAAGAGCGTTAGGTACTAACTCTAGTTTTCCGAAGTCCTGGTTTTTAAAGTAACTTGTCGAGAATCTCTTCAGTTTCATGCCATCCTTTGGTTTTATAAATGACTTTCTATGTGCCGAAACTTTTAGTGTTTGCAGTGGAATGACGGCATCTACGCATGTGTTTGAGTTCTGGCATATGCTCAGAGCCCTCGAAAGGTCATCAGTATTGAAGTATTCACTCCATTCAGAGGATCTCATCACTGATTCTACGAAAGCCCAGTTTGACTTACTATAGTTCCTATATGTTGTTTGCTGTGGAGGTATGAGTTGCATTGCTACTCAGTGGAAGTGCAGTGGCAGTGCACACAGCACTGTTTTGTGGTCGCTATCTGAAAACTTAGAACCCACTAAGATCGAGGGAGGACTTGTACTAAGGCGGAATATTAAGTCTAGTACGTTGTTACCTCTTGTAGGGATAGTGACAGTTTGGCGTAGTGCAATCTGTAGTGTTGAAGTAATTTCCAAACTAATTCTTGGTCACCACCGTCTGCCGAAGGTCTTTTCGAAGTCGATGAAGTTGAGGTACAGTGAGATTTGACTATCATTCTATGGTTTGTCTGGTGATGATGGGTAGAGCTGCAATTTGATCAGCACGTGATCTGCCTTTCCTGAACTCTGCTTGTTGCGGGCTGGTGGAGTCCTGCGTGTAATGTTCCTTTTACTCTCTTGATGATGACGCGACTTAGCATTTTACTTGGCGTGGACAAGGGTATTTTTCCACTCCAGTTCCTGCAGAGGCCTAAGACTCCCTTCTCTACTGCTGCCTGCAGATAAGGAACGCGAAATCTAATGTCTTTTAAGCTAAGGCGAAACATACAGGGCAATAACGGTCTGAGGAACAAAATGATTAGTTACTAATTTTGCCATGCACTTGAAAAGACAATAAAATAACGAACGAATAGAGCCAACCTAAGTGGTGGGCGCTCGCATAAAAATGACGAACAGTCAAGTGAGGATTACAACAGGAAAGTGTGGGCGAGTTGTCAAAGTGACTCTTCTTCACGATTAACTGTCCACAATTCCTCATCAATCAATCAGAAGACCTGACCTGAGGCCTAAATTTCACCATGAAGGTCACCTGATGCTGCACATATGCATACTGATACGTTTCGTATATTTTTCTTGATATACTGAATAATAAGGGACTACACTTTCATTAGGCAGACTAATTGTTCTTATTGTAACGAGGTGAACTAATGTGCATAGCACACCAAAGAAATTTCATGCTCGCGTACACAGTCTGTCGTCATAGCCCACATAATAAGTTACATGCTTTAGTGATTTGTACATAACGAACTGGTTAGTTAGTTTCGAACTGTGTAATTCTCAATATTTTTGTTTCATTTAGGTGATTCTCCGTTACCATTATGGCGATAAAAGTAGGCCGATGAAAAACACCTTGAATTAGTGCGTTTATGTGAGACTCAAGTTCATCACCATGACTTGTGATCCACACGACCCACGATATGTGTGAAACGAATTATTGTTTATGGGAAGTATGCCATATTTCATAACTTATCCATGAAGCCATGCTTAGAATATTCACCTGTTCTGTGTCATTAAGTATAGTACAGTACATGAGTAAGTGAAGCTGCTAACGCGCGCTGTTTGAAAAAGGGAGTGCTTTTTTCACGTATTTTCACGTATTTGACAAATCACTGTTTTTGTTGTGTTATTCACTTCGAGAACATTTAAAAAACCTTAACTTGACTTTTGTCTGTTAAGTTTTTATTTTAAACATTTATATAGTCTATATTGGGTAAATTTTCTTGGCAGTTCCTTATGTCAAAAGTACCACATAAATGTAATAGGGTGGAGTGTTACTTTTTGGTAGATGATGGAATACAGTGTAATAACTGTAAAAAGTGGTATCATAAGATGTGTACTGGACTACGTCCAGCTGCATACAAACGTTGTATTGCTCCAACATCCAACTGGATGTGCAGAATGTGCTGCTCCCCAAAGATGACTTTGATAAGGGAGGCTCACGAACTACTGTCTAAGGCTATGGAACTTCCTGATGATAGCGTGGCTAGTAATAGTGACACAGACTGCCCGTCTGAAGATGACGCTGCAAGTGCCATCATGAATGTTACCACACCGGCGATTACTATCCCAGTTACCCCGGAAGTAAAACCTACTAGGCGTTCGAAGCGTCTTAGTAAGCGAAAGGGTAACAGAACGGAAGCTGCAAACAGCATCTCAGCACCAGAGAACACTGTAAGCGAAGTTCACAATGAAGGTGGTGCAGACACTGATCTCGATTGTACCATCAAAAACTGCAGCAGCCCTGAGAAGCAACTGCAGGCAGATGATCAGTGGGTAACGAAAATAAGCAATCAAAAGAAACATAGTAATATTGATGGCAGGCAAACGTCTGTCACCTGTAGCCAGGCTGCATCAATAGTGGTGAGAAAAGACAAAGCCACTGCTTAACACGACAAGCTCTCCTTAGACTCTAACATAATTGTTGGAAACTTAGAAGAGTCCAAAGAATATGACCCCGTGAAAAGGCACGATCACGACCTTAAACCAGTGAGTAGTATCATAAGGAAGATGCTCCCAGCGAATTTCCCTGGAGTATCGATTAAAAAGCTGATTAGAATAGGCAAAAGAGATGATGAATGTTCTAATCAGCGTAGATTGCTTAAAGTAGTCTTAGGTTCTCCTGATGAACGGAATCATCTACTGGCTAATGTACACAACCTTTCCGGGTCAGGAATTTCAGTCAGACCTGATTTATCTCTTGAAGACAGACTTAAACGAAAAGAAGTTTTGTCCCAGCTAGAAACAAGATGTAAAAATGGTGAGACTAACCTTAAACTGGTGGGTTTTCAAATAGTCAGGTCTTGGAAACGTATGCTTCCAAGACCTGTGTGGATAAGCCGGACCTCATAGGAAGCCTGAAGGTAGTGTACACTAATATACGTAGTATCGGGAACAAATTTCATGAGCTAGGTGTATTAGTGGAAGACCTTAGCCCAAGTATTGTGGCCATTACTGAAACATGGCTGATTTCTGGATTAGATGACACACCTGAGCTATGCGGATTTAGTTGCTTGCGCAGCGACAGGGTTAAGGGTCGTAGAGGTGGCGGGGTTGCTCTGTACATCAACAACTCCCTACATGTTCGTTCCGTGAAATCTGAAGCGCATGACAGTGGGACAAGTGAGGTAATTAGCTGTGAATTAAGCTTTGCAACTGGCACTTTACTCATTGGTGTTCTGTATAGAAGTCCCTTTTGTCAGTGTGATGACTTTATTTTAGATCACCTCAAACAATGGAGTAAACACAGTAGCTGTCTTATTCTAGGTGACTTTAATGCACCTCATATAGACTGGATAGCTGGCACATCTCCAGGATCCACTAATAAGTTTGACAGCCGGTTACTCTTGACTACCATGGAAAATGCCCTGACACAACATGTCTTAGGTAGTACAAGATTCGGTTCTACCCAAGGATCTTCCTTGCTGGACTTAGTGCTTACTCATGACAACGACGACGTGGATGGTCTAGTTATTCATCCACCTCTAGCAAACAGTGATCATGGGGTGTTAGATTTTAACTTAAGGGTTGGCAATTTAGTCAGTTTTCAACCCAAATCCCGACCTAGTGTTTGGCATGCTGACATAGTCGCTATAAAGGAGCGTGCTTCAACTGCCGACTGGTCAGTCAATATTGTCTCATCCATTGAAGATGAATGGGATAGATTTAAGAATACACTTGAGAGGGTTACCACTGATTTCATTCCCTGGAGGGTTCCTAAAAGACCAACAAACCGGCCACCATGGATAAATAGACAAGCTATAACACTCCTAAGACGGAGAAAAAGGTTCTGGAATCTCTTTGTTTCTACTGGGCTACAGCAGTTCCGGCTGAAATACTGTGAAACCAGAAACCAGTGTAAAACTTTGATTCACCAGTCAAGGATAGCTTACGAAACCCAGTTAGTTAAAAGTTCACCAGGCTGCCCAAAAAGACTCTTCTCATATATCAAGAGAAGAACACGTAAGAGTGATGCTATCCCACCTCTTATGCTTGAAGATGACCAGACAAACATGGCTGAGGATAACTTGACTAAGGCTGAGGCTTTGTCCAAGCACTTTAGTCAAGTATTCTCTGATAATATTGATACCAGCTTTGTAACTTTTCCAGAAGGTAACTTGAAAATGGCACCCTTATACATTGGAAAGGATACTGTCCTAAAGTGGCTTCTAAGGCTCAATCCTGGTAAGTCCAGTGGCCCTGATGAACTCCACCCACGTATATTAACAGCATTGGCTGAAAACATAGCCGAGCCATTGTCGGTAATCTTCAATATGTCTCTGGACCAGTCTAAATGTCCAAGAGACTGGAAAGATGCCATCATTAGTCCGGTCTTCAAAACCGGATCTAGAAACTTAGTTCAGAACTATCGTCCTGTTAGTTTGACCAGTATTGTTGTTAAACTACTAGAAAGAATAATTCGTGATGCTATCATTCAGTTCATTGAAGGGAACAAACTTTTCGCTGTGGAACAGCATGGTTTTAGAGCAGGTCATTCTTGCTTGACCAACCTTCTTTTGGCCAGAGAAAGTTGGGCAAGCTCAGCTGATGCTAATATACCGGTGGATGCCATATTCATCGACCTTAGCAAGGCGTTTGACAGGGTTTCTCATTCAGGTCTTCTAGTAAAGTTAGGTAGTCTGGGAATCAATAAAGTGGTTGCCGACTGGATTCAAGACTTTCTAAAGGACAGAAGACAAAGAGTACGAGTTAACGGGGTTTTATCAACATGGGAATCGGTTAAGAGTGGCGTTCCTCAGGGTACAATTCTAGGCCCACTTCTTTTCCTGATTTATGTTAATGAGATTCCATCGGTAGTTAGGTCATCCTGCTTACTGTTTGCTGACGACATCAAGATATGGAGGGCTTTACACGATGACAGTGATCAACTTGCTTTGCAGGAAGATTTAAACTTGTTAAGTGATTGGTGTAAGCACTGGGCCTTGGAGATTAACTTAAGCAAGAGTGTAGTTATGCATGTATCTCATAGTCACGTGCACAATTACTCAATGAATGGCATTACTCTCCCAGTGGTCACTGAGTACAAGGACTTGGGAGTGGTTGTGCAGCATGACTTGAAAACAGCAACAAACTGTAGAGCTGCAGCCACTAAGGGTTTTCGAATATTATGGGCCATACGCAAGGCTTTTGCGAATTTTGACGCTGAAATATTTCGTATATTATATCCGACTTATATCAGACCTCATTTGGAATATGGGATCCAGGCAGCAAGCCCGTGTTTCAAATACGAAATAGACTTATTAGAAAGGGTGCAAAGAGTAGGAACTAAGCTAATAAAAGGTTTCTCAACCCTCTCATATGAAGAGAGGTTAAGTCGACTGGGTTTATTTCCACTGTCATACAGACGACTTAGGGGTGACCTAATACTAGCATACCGTATCCTAAGAAATGATTTTGGAGCAAATTTATCTAATTTATTTCTTCCTTCTAGCACCAACCAATTGCGAGGACATCACCTCAAGGTTCAAAAACCACGGTCGAATCGTCTGCGTTTGGAGATCCGTTTTTCGCATCGGATTGTGAACCATTGGAACTCCCTACCGGAACACGTCGTATCAGCGCCATCCGTTGATTCATTCAAGGCGAGATTGGACCTCCTGTGTGTAACAAATCGAAAGGATTAACACAGGCATATAGCCTACTATCCTAAATAAATTGTAAACTGTAAACTGTAAACAGGCCTTTGTTGAGGCGACTGGAAGTTATCACAATATGAGATTGTGGAGCTATAGACTTGAATCCACAATACTTAATTTGATCAGGAGGAAAATTAGAATCTCTTCAGAATCTATACCTACGGTAGCTGCTAATGATCTTGCAAATTTTACTGTATATATTGTGTACTAGTCCCTTGGAGGTATGTGCAAAATTGACAGGCTTACAGAAGCTAGTCTTACTCAAGAAGACCTGAAAGCGAAAAATAAATCCACAACTGGAACAATTTTCGGCAAAATGTGGGAAAATTACCTTTTTCGCTCGCACAGAAGAGGAATATTTCGATTCAGCTAGAAGTTTCTGGGTCTGTGACTATTAGAAAAGAAAACGTACGTCTTAATTGGAGAGGTCAAGATAAGTGACTGATCATCCCTAATTACTTTGAAATGAAGTATGAGGCAATCCAGTGAAAATTGAAGTATTATATATTGAATATTGAACTTGTTATTTCATGTCATGATTATAATCTTCGTCAGCGATCTCAAGGTCTCCACTTCGAAAATGCTCTACTTGTACCTTTTGCTTATCTCTTCGATCACTTCTTGTTACGGATACTATACAGTTATAGATGCCAATTCAGAAGAATGCTTTTTTGACCGAGTTAATAGTGGTAGCAGGCTTGTATTATATTTTGAAGTCGCTGAAGGTGGTTTTCTTGACATAGATGTTGCTGTAAGTTTGACACGTTGTTAGTAATATTGATAGGTGTACAACCCTACTGGTGTCAAAATATTTGAAGCTCTCAAAAAAACTAATGGAAAGCCTGAGTTCCTTGCAAGCGACTCAGGGGATTACAAGTATTGTTTTGGAAATCGTATGAGTTCCATGACACCAAAGGTGGTTCTTTTCGAAATGGCTGTAGTAGAAGATCACCTGAAAGCTAATGAAAGCGATGATGGCAAGTTAAAATTTTCACCTTTATTTCTCAACAGAAGCTCATAAAAAACTGGTGTCTATGGTTAATGAACTATCACATTCCATCTCTTCAGTTAAATTAGAAATGGAATATGTAAGCCTGAGAACACAACTACATTGGGAAAGTAAGTTCACAGACTTTCGGTAACTATTTCTTTCAGTTAACAGAAACACGAACGTCCGTGTGGTTATTTGGGCGGCATTTGAATCACTTCTAATCGTCGCAATGAGCATTGGTCAAGTATTCTATCTCAAGCGTTTCTTTGAAGTCAGGAGATTAGTTTAAAATATCAAATATTTGTGCATATATAACTGTAGGTGCTTCCAGTGTTTTGTCATACCTTCAACACCCATAACTGTACAGTAAATCGTTTTTGTGTCTTTGTTTTTTTCTTTCTTCGGATATTTTGGGCTTTGGATACATTTATTGTATTACCAACAAGGCTCTATTCCATTCAATCTAACAGTTACTTAGTATTATGACTGTTCCACCTTATCTTCAGCTATGATATATTTAATTTTTACTATTTTCCATATAAAAAACTTGGTTATTTTGGAATTACATTTTTCCTGACTACCGGAAAATCCATGCTTAGGTAGTATGATGTTGTGGTTTCATGGGTGTTTAATTTTTGAATAATCTTCAATCTGAGGAATGTTGATTATTGTACATGCTTTGCTCAAGTTTCTGTGAATAATATTATACGTATAATCTACAAGCTATTGATTATAGGTTAATATAAGATTCTTAGTGTATTAGGAGAATAGTGCATGGCTAGAATCAAGATTATCTGCTTTTTTAGACAGTGGGTGAGCTGACAGCTGACTGCCGTGATATGCATTATTATTAAATATGCTGTAATAACTCACAATAGGTTCATTGTCGTCTTTATAAGAGCGTATTGTTGATAGTAATATAAGACTTCTACACCTTCTTGAGTTTCTTGAAAGCTACACTTCAGCTGTTTAGTTGACGGTTGACCTAAGTCGTCATTTAGTGGATGCTTGAGAATTCATTGCTCTCTGTTTGCAATTTGTGTACTCTAACTCTACAACCTAGAACTCTACAAACCGTTTGCATGAGTTGAAGTTCCTAGCTTTTGACTTTTTTGGAAAAATTAATACCAACTGTTGGTTGACTGGTTGAAGTAGAGTATTGGTTTGTAAAGATATTAGCATGGAAGAGTATGGATATGATGATGATTGAGTATCTTCAGACCGAAAATCATTGAATATCCAAAAATTGGCTGCAATTTACGCATATTGTTGGCTTAGACTTCTGCATACTTTTGTGTTTCATACTGTTTTCGTAATATGCCTTGTCCATCTTTCCCACTTGAAAAGTTCCTGTAATGTAATTTTGCTGATTTATTATGTTGGTTTCTTATATTTTCAATAAAGATGTGGCATTTTTTACAGGTTTGTTATAAATTGCTTTTCTAACCTTCACCCTAGATTTTTATAGTCCTGTTGTTAATTAGCTTAATGGATAAGGGATCTAACTTAGCATCAGAAGATTGCAGGTTAGAGTGCCGTCGGGGTCTGGATTTGGAGGCCGAAATAACTCAGCAGGGAGATCTAAATGTCCCCGATGCGATCCCAGGTGTCCTGCGTATGGGTGAGCATTTTGTCAGCAACGCCACCACGTTGAAAACACGGGTTTTCGTCCAGTCATTGAAGGTTTTGAACCCGAATAACTCAGTGGTAACGTCGCCTCTGACTGCAATACTTGGTGACTCGAGTTTGAATCTCAGAAGGGATATGGGTGTTCCTTCAAGGTTGCAGACACGCCTTGCTGATGATTGCCAACAAGTACGAAACCTGGGTCCAGAGCTTCCTGGCGATTACCTCCAAACATCTGACAGTATCATTGTGTGGGTCGGTGGTTTGCGGTAGAATGCTTGCCAACCATGCAGGTGGTTCAGGGTTTGATCTTCGGTTGACGCACTCCTAAACCTCGCTAAGCCAGCAATAAAACCAGTAGAGAGGGAATGTTGTGCATGAGGCTAGCAACCCCACCCCGTAAAAGTAAAACTACTGCTACTCGAACTTCAAAGCTCTAGCTTGATGCCCTGTGTTCCACTGGAAGTGTAAAGCAGGCGTCGGTGGCACAGCGGTTACAACGCTAGGTGACCATGTATACGATCTGGGGCTCGATCCCCTGCTGACGCTCATCTGATATCAATGGTCGGCCTGCAAAATTTGGGCTACCGATATCACATGCTGAAAATTCTATACGTGTACCAAAAGTACTGTGTGGAATCAAGCTATAATCAAAAATATAAAAAAAATTATACCGTTGATTAAGCTTACTGGAATCGTTTGAAAGTCATGAATGTTTTTTAAGGTTCATAGATTTTGTTGTCGTTTCAAGCCGGCACGGTTCATATTTCCAGTCGGTAGGTCACATGCTTCAACTTGAGGCCTTACTTACAGTAACTGTGACTTCTGGCCTGATACACAAATGTTCCGTTCCGTGTAGTTGATTTCAAACAGTTGAATGATTTCAAGGCT